TCCCAGTGTCGAGTGTTTGCTCCTGGATGCAAAAACCGATTCTTCAGGCCTAAGTCTTGTAAACGCTACCTACGTCTTCCTCTGCGAACCGCTCATCAATCCCGCAATCGAACTCCAAGCCATCAACCGCGTCCACCGAATCGGGCAAGAACGACCCACGACGGTTTTTATGTACCTTATCAGCAACACAGTCGAAGAAGCCATCTACGATATCTCTGTTGCCCGCCGCCTCGAGCATATCAGCAACAACACATTGTCGAAAACACCGATGCAGTCTAATCCCACTACTCCCGCTATCAAAGAACAGACACTGGACGCTGCGAACTCGGCTGAACTCCAAGCTGCGCCTGTCAAACAGCTCCTGCGCAAGAAGGGCGAAGGAGAGATTGTCAAGGAAGACGACTTGTGGCACTGTCTTTTTGGCAAGCAGCGGAAAGCGGCGAAACCTATGGTGGAGAGGGAGGTGGGCCGTGAACTAAGGGCGCAGGCAGCAGAGGCGAGGATCATGGGATCGCCAGATGCAGGTCCCCGTGGCGCGTCATTGACTGGACATTCGGGCACGTTGGGACAGGGTGCGGTTCAAACTTTACCAATCCTTGTAAACAATACGCCAACTTTTGATCTTCCCGCAGCTGCCCGATCGAGGCAAGAACGTTTGGCGCCATTGGCCCCCGATTATGTAGCACATCCCTTGAGGTAATCATGTCAGTGTTGCGATAGCGTGGTACTGGGTAGCTGTATTCATATACTCGAGGCGTACTTGATGAGATCTACACGAATGAAATACAAAGATGTATATATATTGGAAGGATGACAAAATGCACCTAGGCGTGCATGGGTCTTATACTCGCCGAATGATATGATGCTAACACAGCTCGTACATCATAACGTTTGACAGTGATGGACGAACATTGGACTAGACATTCCACATCGAAGCATGGCTGAAGATTGCAATGGTGGTTTTCATATTTGATCAGTAAGAGGAATAGCTCGTAGAGAGCGACTAAAGGCCTGCCTATGTGGTATCATGCTAAAAAGAGACACAAACGCCAGAACCAAATGCAAACGCAGATGCAGTGAGGATGCCAGCCCAGGATAAAGAAGGTCCGAAACGCCAGCGCTAACAAGAAAAGGGGAGTGGATCAAAGAGGGGAAGAATATATGTACGAAGAGAAGAGAAAAAGCATCACATGACTGAACCGACCAATCGAAACAAGGTGTTGCAGCGCCTACACTCTAGGCGTCCTCCACTCCCTCACCTCCTGGCGCCCACCTTCATCAAACCCGGCCCGCTCCATGAGCTTCGTGAACGTAGTGTTCGCCGAGTCTGCCGTGAAGCGATTGTCGCGCCGCATACCAGGTGCCTGTGGAGGCGCCAGGAAACTCGGTGCTGGCATCAAGACATCAATGGTCTCCGAACTGCCGCTGCGCGCGACATTCGGACGCTGTTGCCCTTGCTGTGTGTTGAATGTCTGCGTGCTGGTACGGAGGGAACTCGAGCGCCGACTAGCAGAATGAATGCGTTTGGGCTTGGGAGGCGGGGTCTGGTACGGATCTGTGTAGTTCCCTGCGCGCACGGGAGGAGGGTGGAGAGGTGCAGGGTTTGCTGGGAGACCGCCCGTGAAGCCAAAATTCAGTTTGGGGGTGCGGTCCCACATGCTTTTTATCCTGGGGGTAAAGCCGTGAACGGGCGGGTTGGCGTTTGTTTCCTTCATGCCTTGGACGATCCGGTCGGTGGAGTTGGGGCTCGAATGCGCGGAGTGGCTGCCCCGGCGCATGAAGTCGGTCCGCGCGGCGTGCTGGGGGTCGTAGATTGGGTCGCTGATTTGACGTGCTACATGGCCGAAGTCGCCGGAGTAGCGCTCTTTGGATTGTGACTCGCGCCTTTTCTTGATGATCCAGATCAGGGCGAGGGTGCTGAGGGCGCCGATGACTATGCCAGGGAAGAAGCCAGCTGCGAAGGACCGGCCGTCGAAGCCCTGCTTTGTTTGGACGGGTGCGGTGGCTGAGCAGTCGGAGGTTTGGGAGGCGGACGCCGGGCTGGTGGAGGAGGGTGTTGGGTTTGCGGTTGACGTTGGAGACGGCGATGACGATGGCGAGGTGTCCTTGGCGCACATAGTGCCCTGGCACGTGTAGCCCAACGAACAGCACTTGTCGCCGCATTTGGGCAGGTCAATGCCGTCGGTCTCTGAGAGATGCATCTGGTTGTCGGGATGGAGCGTCGCGTTCAGCTGCGTGGTGTCGCAGGTGGTAGGCTGGATGTAGGCGCAGTCCGAGCCGGACGGACAGCAGATGACTGATTGTATGTCTCCGCCGTTGAGAGACATGCAGGTTGAGTCTTTGGGGCAGCAAAAAGAGGAAGGGAAGTCGGATCCGCACTGTTGGAGGCCTGCGCTCCCTCCACATGTTTCTGCTTGGCGGAGAAAGAGACTGGACGCGTGTGCCGTGGGGATGAGGGATAGGAAAAGGCAGGCGAGGGATATCCTCGAGAGCCTGGGAGAGGGTGTGACTGGAGCCATGGTGGTGGAGATGGAAGTGATGGCGGTATTAGGTTGAAGAGGTCGGGCCTGCGAACCTCAAGTGACTCGGAATGAAACAAAGAAATGAGAGAGCGATACGGAAGCAGAGTAGGAACAACGGAACAGACAAAGACACGGCCTACCTTGGGCATATCTACCTGCACGAGCTAGACTCGAGGAGCCGCGAGTGACGTTCCTCACGGCGAGAGTGTTCTGAGAATAGAGGCAGCCGAGGCGCCGAGTGGACAAGAGGCACTGTATGGCGGGCGGAGGGTCTGGCTAGCAGCGTCTGGTGGCAGGTGACTGCCGTGTTTGTGTGGCTCTGCGTGGACAAGCAGGCGAGTGGGTGAAACGAGTGACGCGGGCGCTTGGAGCTCGGCGCGTCGTGATTGGGCGGGGGCTAGCGCGACGATGCAGAGGCCGGAAAAAGATGAGCAGCGAGCAACGGGCTGCCGACTCCAGTTCGCCCGCCGCCCGTAACGACAGCACACATGATGATTACACGCTGTCTGGCCCGCCGGCCGGGAGCCATGCAGTCTGCAGCCGGGGCGTCGAGGGTGTCGTGGAGACGGCCGCCGCCCGCCGCCCGCAGCCTCTACACAGTGCCCCCGCTGGACAACCACGCCCAGCTCGAGCAGAACGGCATCCCGGGCGTGCTCTCGCCCACGGGCTTCCGCACCGCCTACACCGAGTACCAGGGCCACATCGTCGACGAGCTGAATGCATCCACCGCCGGTACGCCAGCGCCCCGCCGCGTCCAGGGCGCTGCCACAGGCTAACGTCGCTCTGCAGGTACGCCGTGGGAGAACCAGGAGGCCAAGGCCCTCGTCGTCGACTTCGCCCGCGACCCGACCAAGGCCTACGCCTTCAACATCGCCAGCATGGCCTTCAACAACCACTTCTTCTTCCGCGGCCTCAACACCAACCCCGACGTGCACGCCCAGCCGTCCAAAGACCTCCACGCCCACATCAACAGGCACTTCACCTCGCTCGACACCCTGCGCGACACCTTCCTCGCCACCGCCGAGTCCATGTTCGGCCCCGGCTTTGTCTGGCTCGTCCAGACCAACGACAACAGCCTGGGCGGCACTCTGCGCATCCTGCCCACCTACCTGGCCGGATCGCCTCTGTCGGGCGCCCACTACAGGCGCCAGTCCCACGACCTCAACACACACAATGCCGACTCGTACCAGAACATGAACAAGGTGGGCTCCTTCGGCGTGGCCGCGCAGCAGGACCAGAAGCCCAAGAAGCCGTTGGGCGGCGTCGATGTAGTGCCGCTGCTGTGCGTCAACACGTGGGAGCACGTCTGGCTGCACGACTACGGTGTCCGCGGGAAGAGAGCCTTCCTCGAGCAGTGGTGGGACAGGATTGACTGGGACTTTGTCGGCCAGAACACAACGCTGAAGAGCAAGAGCCCTCGATCTTTCATGGGCGCCTAGAAATTAGGCCTGTACACTGCATGTAGACATATATGTACAAGACATTTTGAAACTACGTCAAGGCATCTCCGCATGCATGGCGCTGGGCGTCGACTCGGGCATCTAACAACGTGCGACCTCGCCCACTCTGCCCGTGAAGAACATGTGTCTGTACTTGCTCACTGACTACCATGATTCAAACGCCCTCAGGCATCGCTGCAGCTGCATGCCATTCCGAACGCTGTCCAGGCCTGGTCTTCTCCCGTTGCAGGCTATACGGGATACGGCGCGACATGTACTGGCCTGCAGCTCACCACTGCCAGTGGCCCAAACCGGCTCTGATCACCACCACGTCCTCAAATCTTCACCGGATCGTCTTCTCACACCACCAGATGCCGGCCTCTCAAGGCAGATTCAAAGTACACTTTCGCGATGCGCTTGTCCACTCTTCTCAGCCTGAGCCTCGGAAATCATCAGGTGGCCAACTCGCGCCCGTATAGCCGGCGTCATCCTGTGCCACACCGTTGGCGCGCCTCTAGTCAACTGTTGACGCGCAACACCTGAAGACGTCCGCGCATACTTCGGACTAGGCATGTGGACAGGTATACCGACAGCAAAGGCTGCCAACACGTAGTCCAGTTCCAGTTGAGGGCCAAATCCCTCGAGGCCTCCCACGCGCGGACAACCAAGGACATTTATTGGAAACACTGACGAGAGCGCACCGCCTCCGCCTTGCATGCTTACGATGCACTGATTTTCGCCCAGCCCTGCGGCAACTTCTGCATAAGTTCAACACTTTGCGTGCTCGCCTGCCTTCAGCCGTGCACCTTGGCCAATCACTAGGCCGTGATCTTCGCCGGATTTAGTCGTCGGTCAACCAGCGCCCTGCATTAATTCCTACACTATGACCTCACACGACTCTAGGGTTAGCTAGTCGGTAACACATATCGAAGGATTTCGACTCTCTTCGCTGTGGGTGCCTTTTCCCAAGACTCCGATTCTCCACACTGCTCTTTTTGTCTCTTTTTTCCAATCTGGTATTGCGTTTTCTAGCGGGAGCATGGCAGTGCTTGCGGATATATTACCGGTAGTGTCGAGGAGCTCAGCTCTCGCGCTGAAGCTATACGGCGTTGCTGTGGAGTCGCCTGAGGCCGCGAAAGACCTAGTTGCCGTCGCAAACAAAACAAACGGTTTCGCTGCAATACTCAAGCAGCTAGGGACCATCATCAAAGAGGACGATCGTTTGCCGTCACCTGAGGTACGTAAGGACGCGCGAGTCGTGCTGCAATTACGGGAAAGCATGGCCTATTCCAAGATCGGAGTGTTGTACTGGCATAATCCCAAAAAGACTTTGGGAATCACCAATCTGCTCTGTCCGATCAAGGGAGTTGAAGACATTAGACAAGGAGGAGCGAATGCTTATGCTTCGTTAAATGAGGTCGTGGACGCCCTCGCTGACATTCATATAGGCCATCAATACCCTGGACGATGCCATCGATCAGGCTCAGAACTTGCTTACCAGCGTCGAGATGACTACCTCGATCGAGAACGACAAGTTCCATGACCGAAGAGACAGTGTTCGCTCTACTCAACACAGCCATCCCCGTTTAGATCATTCGACCAAGGCAAGCTTAGACTATTTCACAGCTCACCTGGAAGCCCTGAGTATGACGCTCTCTGTTCTACTGCAGACGTTGTATGCAGCACAGACTATAATGTGGTCAAAGTAAGTTTTACATCCTTACACTGCACTCGGCCTCTGACCCAGTCGCATCCGCATAGCTCTATCTTCTACTTGAGGTACATCTTGGCTTGGAGTAGTATGCTGCTGACAGTCGTTCAGGTTACGTCCCACGGTATCTCCGCAACAAGCCGCTAAACTTGTTGACAACGAAAAGATTCAACTCGAGGCACTCATTGTTCAACAACAACTATCCATCTTATCAGCTTCAAACTTCTACGAACAATCGCCACGGTCTGATGCGCGCTTATTGATGGAGGCAGACAGTTCCCAGAGCTTAGTTGTCACAGAGCATGGCGAAAGCCCTAGGCCGACCAGCCTTCGATCTTATCAGGATGAGGACATGAGAAGCCTCGACACGTCGGTATACACCGAAGCGAATGGTCTACCTGCGGTCTTCAATATATCGGCTTCGCGCGCCGAGCACTTGCTACAACAATGGACGAGTCTGCCTCTATTTGAGCGCCGCTTACGAGACGAAGAACGTGAACTACAAAGGCAGAGACAAGAGTATCAACAAGCTACTGTAGAGTCAGATAGCGAAGAAGAGCAGAGCCGCACATCAAAGCTTTCAGGTGATGGCGCTCGGCGAACCCAAAGGTCGGGCAGCATACAGCCGCTGTTCACTGAGGCCAGCAGCCTGTCCAGTCCACACCCGGAGAAGCATTACGGTCCGCCTGCACCGCCAACACCGATCGCTACACCTCGTACATCACAAGCGAGCATGCCTGCTACAAATGAACAGCAAACAGCTGCTTCGCCCCGATCCAGTCTAGGGAGTCTCCCCATCGAGGCTACCGCCGCGGTAGAAGCGAAAGAGGAAGACAGTGAAGTCGATCTAGAAATACCCTGGAAGTTGTGTGCGCGCAAATACTACTGGCGCTTTGTCGATGCCAAGCAAGTCAGCTCGAATACTGATCAAGCGTATTCACTTGCCTATTTGGAACGTAGCAGTTGGACCGAGATCATGGCTAGTTGGGTGTGCAAGGAAGCAATCCGAGAGGCAGGTTTCAGGTTTACACAATATCAAAAGGAGCGAAGGGATAGTAGGAGAACGAGAGGGGAGACATGCTTCTGCATCGAACGTCCATTGCAGTTTGACCAAGTCAAACGTCTTGTTGAACGTACCGTTGACATCTACCGGAAAGCAGCACCACAGACTCCACCCCAACAACCACAAGCCAGGAGATCATCTTTCCATCGTGCCCCACCGCCACCTACTGCTCTCAAAGGAAGCGCATTCGACCGCGACAGGACACCAGTGCCGCGAAACACACATCCCCCGCTTGATCGCACGAACACGATGCACTACGCACCGCCGCCTGGGCCACCCCCACTAGACCGATCACTCTCAATGCCTGGACCGGGACTCGTCCCACCGCCACCCAAGCAAAAGATCAACACCCGCACTCCAAATCTCCAGATACCGGTACCCAGTCAATATACCCCTCAACAACCACAACGCCCTCACTCCCCACGAATCCCACAGTACCCACCTCAAGCCAACGGACACCCATCCCAGCCGATGAACGCACCACCATACTACCCACCCCCGCCAAACACCCCTTTTGCAAACGCACCCGCGCCCCCACATGCACCAATCCAAAACCAGAATTACCCTGTACAAGCCTCGCCTCTCCGCCAATCCTCCATGAACCCCAGTTATGCCGGCAACCGACGCCACGATGACGACTTTACCACATCCGAGTCTGAGCTCGAACGCCCAAGACGGCGCAGATCCAAATCGAGAAGTAGAGCGTATGAGAAGGAGAGGGAAAGGGACAAGTATGGTAAGAAAAGTCACACAGGGAGGAAGGCCGCGGCGGGCGCGTTGCTGGGTGTTGGTGGGTTGACCGCATTGTTGGATGGGTTGAGCGGACTGTAGAATGTACGAATTGCATGATTTGATCTTGCCACCATCTTGGGGTCTTGAGCGCAAGGTACCTAACGGATTAGTTGCTTGTATAATGACTTACGAATTCATAATGAAGAAGTATCTCGCACTTTCATACCTTCTCTACCATCTTCGACCGTGCAAATCAACATGACGAGTTCCTCAAAACAAGCATTAATCAGAGAATTAGTTTGGAAATAACAGCGATGCATTGAAACCACGAAGGCGTTAACTAGGTTAAGAAAAAGAAAGACTACGTAGGGACAGAATAAGAATACGCAACACCATCCGCCTCTTCCGACCACCCATTCAACACCCCATCACATCTTCCCTCTTCCTAAGCTCTTCAAGCGTAGTCTACTCTAGCAAAACCATCCTTCGCACAGAGCATACCCAGTATTATTCTGCCATTACCGCTTCACTGTTGTTACAGGTGTGCTCGCTAGCCGGGTCCGGATACGAATCATTCTCGGACTTGTCCAGGTGACTGGGTATCTCAGATTGAGTCGTTCGCGCAGGAGCCGTACAGGCGATGTGCTGTGGAGTCGCAGGCAATGCCATCACAGCCAGATCTAAGGTGGAGTCCTCGGATGCGACGGTGCGCTCCATGACCTCGTCGCCCGTTTCTGAGTGGGAACTGTGTTCGCTGAAAGTGTCAACTGGCACATGCGGTTCGACGCGGGTGTGTTGATCGGTGGCTCCGTCGACATGTGGTTGTACCCCAGTGGCTCCTTCTGTATCATCTTCCTCTCCTTCAAAGCAAACCACTGTCTCGCCAGCAAGCTCAGAAACCGCCGCACATTCCCCAACTGTAGTCGTCCCATTCACTCCCTGCCCAGTAACCCCCCCTCCAACCGCCATAGGCATAATCATCACCTCCCCCAACCCCCCATTTGGTTGCCGCACAACAACACCCTCAGCACCCGCGCCGTCACCACCCCAAAACCCCGTTGTACGCCCTTCAATTAACAACTTCGATTCCTTCTCGTTCTGGATCAGCGAGCAGCACGTGCAAAACCACGTCTTGAGTATATCGGCAACACAAGTGCCGCCGAGGTCGCCTAGTTTACGGATCCGATAGGTTTGCCATGCGAAGGGGACGCAGACGAGGAAGCCGTGGGCGAGCGGGGTGCAGCAGAGGAACGAGTAGCCGTAGGCTATGCACTGTTCCCGGTAGTGTCAGTCAGGAATCCGAGAAGGAATTATGCGGTGGGATAGTGTGGGACGCTAATCGAAGCTGGATGGAACTTTGTCAGGGAGTGAACTGGCGTACCGGCACGTTGACAATCTCATAGCCACTCATGTCGCCATTGTAGTGAAGACGATGCCACGTCTTTCCGCAAGTGACGCAAGGACAGAAGAACGTGACGATACCTACGCTACTCGTTAGTCCATCTTTCTTGTCATCCCCATCCTCATACCAACAAGTTTGGAAAGACTTACATAAGGGCAGCGGATTCAAGCAATCCTAGAGACTTGTGTTCCACGGCTTGGTACGACGCAAATCTGCTTCGATCTCTTCTCTCGCTAACGCAGTCCAGTCTGATATCTGGGAGCCGCACCATCGTCCCCATCGTGAGATGGTGTCACGGGTCTTTTGGAGGGACGGGTGTCCTGTGAGGCGGTCTGGCATTGTGGTATGATGGGCCGACTTCCTGAAAGCGAGTTGATCTCAGCACGGTGTCTAGGGTGAGAGAAAATGATGTATTCGATGCCGAGTATGCTGATGCTATATGGGAGGGTGCGCGACAAAATGATCTTTAATCATTCATAGGTTTCCGTATAAACGAAAGACTTATAAATTAGTTAGAAAAGAGTTCTTTAAATAGAGTTATTAATGTTCTAAAGAGGTTATAGGCTTAAAAAAGTCGCTGTTCTATAGGTAGTATATCTAGGTAGTATGTACTATAGTACTCTAGATATAGAATATCTTGTAAGTAAAGCTGCTACCTATAATAGGCGTATTAAAAAGAAACTTTTAGCTTTAAGGAAATAATATATCTAATAATAAAATACAAAGCTAAGATATCTAAATTAATAAGATCTCTGCGCTTAGCTCTAATATTTAGCTAACCTTCTTAATATAGTATAGCATAAACTAAAGTTCTAAGCATAATAGACGCTATTATAATGCGTACTATAAACATCTATAAATTTAACAGACTTATAGATAAGATACAAAAAGTCTAACTCTATTATTAGAATACTAAATTGCTTTTAGAGTAATTTGCTAAATAAGGTAAGAGCTTTATATAGAACTTAATAAATAGAGGCTAATAATATTGTAGATAATACAGCAGTAGTAGCTTAGTTAAAAGGTAAGAAATAAGCTCTAGCTAAGCTCTAGAACTAGATTAAGAATAACAAGAGAAAGAAAGTTCTAGATAGTAATAAGCCTAGCTTTATAGAGGCGCTTAAACGTTGCAGTAATAACTAGGTTATTAAGAAGATGTTAGCGTATAAGCAGGTAGTATTAGGTTTCTATACTAACGCAGTAATTAAGTAAGCACAAGTAATAGGTGCTAGGTAGAACAGGCGGCGTTAATGTAATTAAATTATTTATTAATAAAAGTAATTAAATTATTTATTAATAAATGTAATCAAATTATTTATTAATAAATGTAATTAAATTATTCATCAATAAAGGGTGCGCGAAGAATAGAGTGGATGGTGTGGCGCAGATAATGTCTGGGAAGGCAAGAGAAGTAGATGCGTAAGCGACTGATATGGACCTCAACTCGCCGGGTAAGAACGATAGAGCCAGGAATCAGGTGGGAGGCGGTGGCGACTAAGAAACAGTCTCCGTCAACTAGTAAAGTCTCAATAATTCACGGTTACCGCATTGGCAATGTATAGCGGGACATGCACAGCAATTCTAGTTAAGATGATGAAGTAATATAATGTTCTGGCGACAGCCACGCCAAGTGGAGGGACGGTAAGATGCCACGTAATGTCACATTATGATAAATGTGAAGCAACTGAGGAGAAATGTATGCAAGTATCAAATCGCATGCATTGTATAGGCCACGCATATTGGCAGCGCATACTAGTCTATGTAACTAATCATTTGCTCGAAACTATACTTTTATCAGATTCCTTCCACCCAAGTCACGGGGTCAGGTCCGCATATGCGCATGCAAACCAAAACGAGCATTTAAATCCCACCGCCGAGCTGGCCTTGGAAAGACAGCCACCATGATGGTTACCACAAAGAACCGGGGGTATCTTCCTTCGTACAAAGGTTGGGTCGTGGCTAGACCTTCATGAACGCCATCTATGCAGTAAACTTTTCCGTCGTCCAAAACAGGGTCATGCTGCTACTCTCCGCGTGTGGAGAGACCGAGAGACGCAAGGACGACGAGAAAGACGTTGTCGTCGAGGGGTATGACCGGGAAAAAAGGAACCGCTTTTGTCGTAAGATAAGGAAATGCTCAGAGAGGTCATCCGCGTGTGGAAGACTCGGAAAGCGAGAATCTATAGCTCCCCAAGCAGCATGCTTGCAGAAGAGCGAAGTCGTGAAATGTTCGTAATGCATGCCTTTGCGAGAAAGACGAGGGTCCTGCCATCTATGTTCGAGCTCGACAAGAGTGCGTCGAAGGGTATCGTATGCGAGAAGAGCTCGAAAACAGGCAGATCCGCAAAAAAACAGTCGCTGTCTATATGCTGATTGGGGTATGAGATTCCAGATTTCCGCATCGATCCGCGGTAACCGGGAAAGATTCGCAGAAAACATTCGCAAGTGAAGGAAATCGAAAGCAAGCCATCGGTAGCGGCGACACGAAGGCCCAGAGTATCGTAGAGAAGAAAATGTGTCCCGGGCTGGCTATATCGTGAAGCGGTGCGTTGCACGTTTACCACCAAGAGTTGCCGCCAGGGCCGGATGGGTTGCCGTAGCCTCCACCAAAGCCGCCGCCGCCGCCACCGTAGCCGCCGGGAGCTGGAGGAGCGTAGCCACCGCCGGGAGCACCGCCGAAGCCACCTCCATAGCCACCTTGAGGAGCACCTCCCCACTGGCCACCGCCACCGCCACCGAAACCACCACCGCCCATGCGACGAACGTCACGGGTAGCAGCGTTGCCACGGCCACGGCCGCCTCCACGGCCACCACGACCTCCACCGAAGCCGGAGCCCTCGCGAGCAATGGATTCGAGGAAGCTAGGGACCTCTTGGTTGGCCTCTTTCAACAGGTCAAGGAGATCGCGTACGACTCCGCGATTGCCGCGGTTGAAGAAAGCAGTGGCAATACCAGTGTTTCCAGCTCGTCCAGTACGACCGATTCGATGAACATAATCGTCAATGTCGGTAGGAAGGTCATAGTTGACGACGTGCGTGACATTTGGTATATCCAGTCCTTTGAAATGAGTCAGCAAGGTGTTCAAGGGTTTGCAGAATACAGCAGTTGCTCAAGGCTTGAACAACTTGGAAAACTTACCTCGGGCAGCTACAGCGGTAGCGACGAGGATGGGGCAACGTCCAGTTCGGAACATCTCCAGGGCCTTTTCACGCTCACGCTGAGTGCGGTCACCGTGAATGGAGGTGGCGGGGAAGCCCTGGTTGATGAGGAAGTCGGACAGCGAGTCGGCCATACGCTTCGTCTCGACGAAGATCAGGGTGAGACCAGCACCGTGTGTGTGGAGAATATCAAGGAGAACAGAGCGCTTGTCGCCGTCCTCGACGTACTCAATCTTCTGGGTGATGTTCTCAGAAGTGGAACCGACACGACCGACCGAAAGGAAAATGTAGTCCTTCAAGAAGTCGCGGGCGAGCATCTGGATATCGCGGGGGAAGGTGGCCGAAAACATGAGTGTCTGGCGGGCAGCGGTAGGAGGCATGTCCTCACCCTCAACGATACGGCGAATCTGAGGCTCGAAACCCATGTCCAACATGCGGTCAGCCTCGTCAAGAACGAGGTACTTGATGCTAGCGAGGGAGATACGGCCACGCTCGATCAGGTCAACGAGACGACCGGGGGTAGCAACGAGAAGATCGCA